AAAAGATGTTTTTACGCACACATTTTAAAAGGCTCTCAGTGAGCTGTTACAACTCAGAGAAATGATTTTATTGTCAGCAAGAACAGTGCTCTGAAACAGCAGCATTATTCCTTGGAGTGAAAAAGCTGAAAAATCTGTTAGGAATTCCTATGAAGAAGTGAGGAGCGCACAAAATGCTGTTGTGTATTGGAAGGTGTGAGGGGGAAACCAACCACCTCTTTAAAATGGTAGTCTTCCCGAGTGCTTGCAACCCTTTCTCTCACAGAGCAGGGTCCCACCTGTCACCTCCACAGATCTGGCATGACTGTAGCAGACGCCCCAGACTTGGGTCTTCCTGACAGAGAAGTTGTGCATGAACTGCGTGGCCGTGTCCAGCTGTCCTGGTCAACCCTGGACTTGCTGCCATGTCAAAATCAGTGCCGAGTGTTCCAGTTCCACAGAAACTCTGTTCCTCTTTCACAGGACTGGAGTTAAACAACAGAAAATGCAGTAGACTTTGATGTATTGGCTCATATGTCTGTCACCTCCACACACCCTCTGTGGATCAGATATACAGCCTCCACCTCCCTTTTCCCATGCCTCCCCCGAAGCTTTCTCCTTACCCCTTCTTCAGTATCCCTCAAGTCCCAAGTGTGACTGCTTGCTCCTCCATTTCACTCCTGAGGAAATCTGTGCATGTTTAACATGTTGGAGAGGACAGGTTTATAGATTCTACTCCCTCACAGAGGGAGGCTCAGGGTCCAAGGAAAGAAGAGGGAGCTAGGACTGAATTCCATTAAGTAGCCTCAGGGTTTCCTTGAAGGGCTGGGCTTTGGCTAGAAATACTCATGGCTGTACAGATGCAAGTATATTCAGGACTGGGGGTAGAAAATAATTTTTCCTGCAGCTGTGCCACCTCTGGGTGATGGCACACAAAAGAGGCAGCCTACAGTGACGGCAGGAGCATGACAGCCCCATTCCTGAATGTGACTCTGTAGGCCAGATTTATTGTTATCATTATTAACTGACCCCAAGCCCACACCTGCAAGGGCTTTGGGATCTGTCCTGCTCGTTCCCCAGGGTTTCTCCACCAATCCACATGGCTTCTGGGGAGCAGCAGCTCATGGGGCATTGGCAGAAGAGCTGCAGCATGCACACTGGCAGGCTGAGAACATGTCAGAGGCAACTGAGTGTAAAGCTGCAGCAGCAGCATTGAGAAGGATCAACAGCACAAATCACAAATTCAGATCAGTCTGCCAGCCTGTACAGATACAGTCATGTACTGTTCACACCACACAGAGCTAGGAAACGTGGCATCTGTACCGTGTTCAAGTTCTGTCTGCTCTAAGGCAGATATTGCTTTCAGTGAGCTGGGATATAGGAAGAAGGTACAGACCCCCAGATATGAGACATCAGATGCCACCTGGCAGGCCAAGGCTTTGGACACACAGCAAGACTGCTTTTACTTTCTTACACATAAATTAAAATAATAAATTACAAAGTTTGCAACTCATGCAGACCCTACTACAAGAACAACATATCAGCTGTAAAAACATACCCCTAAAGAAGCCTGTGTTCTAGTTACCAAAACCACAATTCAGGAAAGCTATTAATATATGATGAATTTTGGACACATATCTAAGAAACGCTGGTTTTCTACCTTGCATGTGTTCCATCCCACTCAGTGGACCAGGGGTGTTGTACTAGAAGCGGATTCTTTACCCAGTGTGCAATAAGCCAATTCCACACACTCAGGAGAGATATAGCTTTTATTTGGGCCTGGGTGCTTGGTGGAATCAATCCACAAATCAAGCACACCTGGGCACATCTGCTGGTCACACTTAGGTTCCCAGACATACATTATTCATTTAAAAAGACATTATTCATAATCTAGCTAATACATATTCAAAACTAATTTTGAATTATGATGAATTATGGTCAAGGCCTGATGTGCATGTCCTTGGGGGTCTCATACAGTCTCTGGTGGTTGTTCGGGGGTCCCAACCAGTCATTGAATTGACCATGTATGGTCAAGAGTCTTTTAAGGACACTGTGGGTATGGTCCAGTCCATTGTATTCCTGACCATTTGCCCTTATCTTGGGATATCTTCCAGAACTTCATCAACTCCTTTCTTCTCTTTGTTTCTTGCTTTGGTTCTTTATCAGGGGGTTGTGGTTTGATGGACACAAACTGTGCTTACTTTTTTAGGTATAGTCAGCCAAGCCTCTGTCACATATATACTAACAGTGTACGATTTAAATGTTCAAGCTAAATCTCTTTAACAAATCTAAATCCCTTTAACTATATCCCTGCATGCAAACTAAATTTCCAACACAACAGGGGAAGGTGATTTTTTTAAACACTCTGTGCAGTAATCCAGAATGACGACAATTATTCCAGAGGCTCATTTAAAGCACAAATTTACTTGCACTGAAGCACAATTGTAAGGAACAAACAACTCGGCAAGAGATCTCCCGAACAAACAAAACAACTTTGGCAAGAGACTTTGCTCAAAATGATTCCCACGTGTGTATATATACATACATACATATACAGTGCCCGAAAGTAAAAGGAGAGTGAGATCAAAATCAATTGATCACCCGTCCTAGTTCCAGTGTTGGTCCAGCCAACAGGGGGGTGCATAACTCTGGTTCCTAAGAGCGTTCTTCTTTGTGTTCTTCCTTTTTTCTTTATGTATGTCTTCCTGTATTTCTTCATATGTTTCTTCTTATGTTCTGTGTCACTTCTCTCCCCCTTTTGTATTCACAGTATCAGTACAACCCACCCCATACTTAGATTCAGGTTTCCCTCCTTCTCAGGTGATGTGTAGCACGGTTTGGGTGGAGGGAGGAGTGCTAATTTTCATATGCAAGGGTCATTTATCAGATACCATGGTCCTAAGAACAAAGTAAGTTGGGCCAGAGCAGAACCACTCCATCTCCACAGGGCTCCCTCCTCCATCTGCAAGCATCCTTCGCACAAGAGGTAAGCAAGTGCTGGCCTTTTCAGTTTGCTGAGCACAAGGCCTGCATTGTCCAGATTCCACATCATCCACCTTGTGACTACAGTTTTTGTTTTCAAGGGTACTTCGTGAGTGTTTGAGACATATTAAGGGGAAGGCTCAGGAGGGCCTTTGCCCCTCCCTCTCCCTTATCTTCTTTCCTCAGGCTGCTTTTGTTTCAGGGAGTTTCAAGTTGGCTCCCACAGCATGACACAACTCTTTCTTTAGGCACTACTAATAATGAACAAATGTCGCTTAAAATGTGACGTGCAGTGAAACACAGTTCTGGCACCAAAATACAACTGGCAAGGCTGGCAGCTTTCCTCAAAGCCTGTCCCTGCTAGACATCTTCAGGTCTGCTCTACAAAAAGCACAATCATTCATTGCACCATTATCCTGATCTCAGCTATCTAGTTTGAATTTTACAACCTTCAGAGAGAAGCAAGATAAAATGCAAATTCCCAGTTTATGCCAAAAACTTACTTAAAAAAACTCCTTTGCTATCCAATAAATTATACATTGTATTCCTGTGATTCATAAGTTAATACAGATACTGAAAAAACTAGGCCGTTGGCAACGAGTAATGCCCACACTGAAACTTGAATCCTTGAAACAGAGCAGGTCTCACATCTCTATAGGTTTCCAAACAGCCATCACTTAAGATTTCTCATTTATCTGCTCCTTTTTATATAGTAGTTTAGGTAGATTTCAGCTTCCTTGTACATGAAGTTTAGCTTTTTCCAAATTTCAGACAGTGTTAGCAGAATTTGTAATTATTTACTAGTGCTTGTAAAAGTCATTTGCCTGTGCTGTGTTCTGACAAATTAAAAGCAGTCATTTCTTTACTAGTTTTGAAGCCACCTAGGTAAAGTCACTACGGCTTTCTGAAGTGAGCTGAAAAAAACACCACATACCTTTTCCTCTCAGTTGGCTTCATTTGTGCCTCAACATGTTAGCACTATCCTTCAGGCAAAAAAGGATGGTGGAGATGTTGTTCAGAGAAGGTTAAGGCAGGTCATATCAGGAGAGACCTCTGCACATCAAATCCAGCCTAGCAGGGCAGTGCCTGCTTGATCTTAAAACAGATCCAAATTACTGCTCATCACATAAATACTAAAAATAAAATTGAATTAAAAGTTTGATCCAGCAACGTGACAAAAGAAGTGTTTACGGCAAATGACAAAGGCAAGGGAGGCATTAACTAAGGAAATGTAAAATGTTTTAACTGAGGGTTCCCTTGTATAAGCTGTATGCGGATCTTATCATACTACGATTTCAAGAGGAATTAAGCAGGTATAACCAAATAATGTAAAAGGCTATATAGCTGCACCCTTTCTAATTTATCAATTCTTAGCAGAACAAAGATGATCAGCACAATGTCCTCCTTGACCTCAGGCTCCTCTTTGGATTGACATTCTTCTTCTGTAGTGGTCTGAAGCACTTGCCCAGGGAACAAAATTGGAAAACCGAAACAAAAACATAACAAAAATCCTGTGAAAATGCAATGTAGAATTCCTCCCACCTACTGCTCTTCTCCAGTGTGTCGGGAGGAGTAACCAGTATGGCTGAAAGAAGAAAATTTATCAAACACACAGCATACAAGCCCCAAAATAGGGCACCTAGATTTTTTTCCTCCTCAATGGGAAAGACCAGATGGAGGGAGAAAAAACAGTACTCCAAGTTGAGACGGGTTGTCTTGATCCCGTGAGGTGAAAGGAAAGGACATGTACAAACAGAAAATATGTAAAACAGGGAACATTTAATGTTTTTTCTTTGTCCTGTATAAACAAAATACTTTTATGAATTGAGTCAACATGTGTCAAGTGTTTGGCTTTATGACTGCACTCCAACTGATTAACTGGTAACTCATCAAATGCAGGCTAGATGAACTCCGTGTCATTTCTGAGACTCTACAAAGGCATAATAAAGAACAAACCAGTATATATATAAAACTACTGTATAGAAACAAGAATTGTGTTGTAAGAAATATTCACACGGTTTCATATAGAAAGAATAAATTTAAAGTTGCAGTCTTAGAGAATTAGATAAAATGTCTGGATAAGGTTGAAGTCCTAGCTGTTTGTTATCTTTCAACTTTTGTATTATAATTCTTGCAAATTCCTCTCCTTGACTATCTGAGGTATCAAGCAGTTGTCGGACTTTTGATGTCCTTGTAGGTTTGGTGCTTATAAGTTCATAATCTTCTTTCATGAGTAAAAATCTTGATAGAAGAGCATCCAGTGACTGATTCAAACATGCTTCAGTCATCTGATCAATAATTTCTTCTCTTTTACTTTGGATCCATTGATGGGCTACATTCTGTTGTATGGTTTCCAAAACAAAATCTAAGATTGAAGAGCATTAAAAAAACCAAATTAGTATTGTAACTGTCTGTCAATAAATAGTGCCATAGAACAAAGAACAAGCTGAGAAAGCTGTTTAAAACTTGGTTTTAATCAGAAATACACTAGACTACTAAACACGCTTTTCACATTTCAGTACTGTATATTTAAAAAGTTCTAGTTTGTCAAATTTGGTGGTTATAGTTATTTATTTTATCTGAATCACAGAATAATTTAGGTTGGAAGGAATCCTCAAGGAGGTCACATCTGCATGGCCTGGTCAAAGCTGGGCCAACTTCAAGGATAACTCAGGCTGCTGAGGGCCTTTGTCCAGCTGAATTTTGAGCTTCTCCAAGTGATGGGACATTTACAGCTTCTGTGGGCAACCTGTTCCAGTGTTCAACCCAATCTGGTACTAAAAGGAGAGAGGCGGTAACTTCACTTTGCAACTGTATGTTTCCTGTATATTTTCCTCAAGCTGATGATTCATTTTGTTATTTTTTTGGAAGCACACTTTTAAATTATTTGAGGCATAAGAATATCATGCAGTGGGCTCTCAACTCAGAAGATCATTTAAGATGAGATGCTGACACATCACACAAAAGAAGCAGATGCTGCTGCTTTTTTGCCTGACCATTACTAAGAGGAAGAATGACAAACCTAAAGAGTGGGGAGAAGTGACAGGCAAGCAGGTGAGTTAAGCTCAAGCTAATTTTTATTCCTGTCCTGCTGGACTGCAGCACGGCTACAGCAGTAGTAGAAAGGAGAAATAATATGAGCAAAGTGAATGGATAAAGAAGACCCAAGGCAGCAGGAATTAAGTTTCCTTAAAAGGAGAGAAAAAAGCTAGGAGCTACAGGTACATGTAGGTCACATTTTACATTGGGTTTACTTACTTTGTAATATAAGGTTACAAGGGCAGAATTACTTGCATTCTTCATTTTACAGATGAACAACAGATCCAGTTTTCATTTCACACACACATGTATTTGACACTAGGACACTCACTGCGCATCTTGGAATTAAATCAGTGTTTGCTGTACCTGAAGGAATTGGAGATGACCGCAGCACACATGATGCAGAATTTGAGGCTTCTGAAGTACTCTTGTCAGATGAGGAAAAATAACTGGACGGATGCATAAGAAGTTTGGCGCTCTGAGTTACAGAGATATTTTCATCTGTGCTCTGACTGCTGAGAGACTGTAGACCCCCAGAACTTCCGTCTTAAAAAAAAAATAAAAAAAGGGGAGGCGGGGGGAAGGTGAGCTTTATTACTTCTATGTTCAAATAAAATACAGCCAGCCATCAGAGACTATCTAGGGTAATTCCAGGAAACAACACTCATAAACAGCCTAAATTAACTTCAGATACATTATTGCTTATACTCAGGTTCTGAGTACCTTTATGTCCCTTATCTTGGGGACATAAAATCTTATCAACCAGGGCTTGACCATGGGTTTGGGGGTCTTGTTTTATTTTAAAAGGACTTTGAGAGAATAAATCCAGTCAATGTGAACTTTAAAAAAAGCTCTGTTTGACAGAAAACTTTTGTAGGGACTGGAAGACCAACATAACTCCAAGTGTTTGGAGAGGTAGCTAGGAGTTTGCATGAAAGCAGACTAATTTATTTTGATGAAGTTTGGAAGTGTAACATAGGTGGAAAGATTGAAAGAAAGATTCAGGTGGAGGGAAAGAACATGAAGACCAATGGTAACATTTGGTGGGAAGCCAATGGATGCTTTTGGTAGTCCGTCAAAAACCATATAACTTCAAGAAAGCTTCATGTAAACATTTGCATAGAAAGGGAATAAAGGGGGTTTATCAGGTGGAAAGCTTAATAGTTTTTATTTTTATGAATTTTTATGGCAGAAAAGGATGACAGATATGAAAGCAGCAGTAGGAATGACTCAAAGAAGAGATGACAAATAGCTGACGAGAAACCAGTGACAGGGCACGTGCCTAATTCTATATACAGTTTTCACTATAGACTTTCACAGTGTCACTTGATAAAGAGCTTCAGAGGCATTAACTAAGAAGCACAGATAAGATGTAAGAATTCAGATGAACATCTAAAGACACAATAAGAACAGGTAGCCCCCTAGACAGCACAGGATTTATAGACACCGATCCAATGGGGGTATTTGCAGGTGTACTCCTAGATCAAAGTATTGACCTGTGTAAGAATATGGCTATAAGTACAAGGAGCAGGAACAGGAAAATGTGAAAGAAACAATACTCTCATTATTTAAAAAATGGTGGGCTAGAACTCATAGTAACTAGCACTTCGTTTCATTAAACAGACAAAGTAAGCTGGGCAGAGCTATATGGTGTGAAGCAGCAGATGTTATCTACTGCATGAATGAGAAAGGATTAGGAGACAATTGATGTGAGTGAAAGATCACTTTAGAAAAGGATTTTAAACTGCTCTGCTGGGATAGATTGTTATAGATCTCCAGGCACACACAGATCTTTAATAGCATTAGAGACAAAACTACTGGGATTGTACTAGTATGGGAGAATGAAATTCACCAGTGACCACTGCATAAAACATTGAAACATGCTAATGAAATTTGCAAGTGTTACTCAGAAGGAACGGGTTGACTCAGGTTACTCAGAAATAACCTAGCTGACCTAGAAGACTGGAGTAATAGAAGTGGAGATTTGGTAACGCAAAACTAGACTTTCTGCTTCAAGCTGAGGCTAATGATCTGGAATTATGATGAGGGAAAAAAAAACGGCCTAGGTAGATTATTCTATAATGAAGGACCTTGTGAGAAAGGAAAAATAAAATTCTAAGGTATATTAAGTAAAGTTCTTATTTCAGGAAAAAACCACTTGTCACGCTTCTTTTTTAATACTAAGTACAGAGGTCTGGTAGCCTTAGTCCAGTGACTTAAGTTAGAACATGCACAGGGAGGACTAGTAGAATGAAGAAGCTTATTTTACAAATGGACTTCTAATGAGTGTATCCTGCTCGTCTAGCACAACAAAGTGTATCAAACGATTAGTCTCTATATCATAAATAAAATAGGAAAAGAGGGAAAAGAGCTACTTAAGCTTAAAGCAATGCCCATAAACAAGTGTGTGTATAAGTTGGCTAGGGAAGAAAAATTGAGACTGAAAATTAGAAGACAGTTCCTAACTCTGAAGGAGCAAGTTTCTGAAAAAGTCTTCTAATTCTACTGGTGGAAAAAACCCAACTTAAATAAAATCTATAGTCATTAACTTCTGCCTTGGTGCCATGCCAAACTCATCTCTTGCCAACAGCTACCTGGAAACAGACCTTCACCTGAAACAGCTGCATCTCATTTAGGCAAAGAAGAACGTCAGTCTTGATCTCTATTATAAAATTACCTGATGTAGATATTGGCAAAGTAATAACAAACACTTCTGCTGTAGTACAGTTTTGTAGACACTGTTTTCACAGGCTTTACGGTATCTATACCTACAGGTAATGAAGTCTAAGCAGTGACTCTGTAAAGGACCACCAATCAGATTAATAGTACCACCACAATCTCATCAATGACCTCCACAAGCAGACAATTTTTAACAGGAACCAGCAGCAAGAGGGGCTGACATATGTCATTATCTTATCTGATTACACTTACAGTTCATGCTCATATTCAACCTAACATTCCATTTTCTAAAATTCATCAGAACATTCCTATTAAGCTTGATAACCACAAGTTAGTTTTCATCTTTAAGAGTTCTATGCTATATGCATAAATGCTTGGGTAGAGGTACAGCCAATCTACACCACATTTGCTTTCTGCCATTTTCCCTTGTAACTCCAATTTCTTAAGCCTCCCGTAATCTATTTTCCCTGGAATTTCTGCTGTATTTGTATCTTTCTAGTACAGCAAGTACGAGCCTAGAATTGTGGATGTGTTCAAACAGAAGCTGGAAAAGAAACTGCCTGTGCCCTCCTACCTCTACCAGAATATCCCCAGTTCTGAAGCACCTCAGCACACTTTTTGATGCCCTACTTCATAGCAGTGAAGTCAATTGTCTTGTCTGCTTTCATGCCACTGGTCCCTGCAAAGCCAAAGGATGCTTCATTCTTTTGAAATATATGTTTTCATTCTTTCAAGAGAAGAAACTCAAGTGCAGTTTTAGTTTCACAATGTGAATGACAGCTACAAAAAGTCTGTGCAGATACTTTTGCAAGGTAATCTATTCATTAAAGCCTGTCTATTTACTGAATCAAAAATGACCAAGAGGTTGGGCTGCATTAGAAACTTTCAGTTTACTCAGCTTTAGGAGTGCCTTAAAATGTTTAGCCTTTTTATCTTTAGACATAGTTCATAAATGATTACCTAAACTGCCAAGAGTCTGAAGGGACAAGTAAATGCTATCTCTGCACCCATGACCCTGAATAGGAAAACTGTAGCTGTGAGCTGTGGGGACTCTTCAAGTGACACGAACAGAAAATCACAGCTAAAATGCTCTATTTTTTTTTACCCAGAGCACTAAGTTTACAAAACACATCTCTTTTCTAACATAAACGGAGATCTAACTATTTACCACGTAAACGCAATGTTACAGTGGGAGTGTAAAACTGTGATGGCAACTTAAATTTATATGAAATCATTAGTATCTCTACCTGATGAGAGGATATTACACTTGGGAATAGACTTGAATCTTGATATATCTGGAGAGATGCTCCGAAGGGGAAGTGCATCACATTGTACGGAGCCAGAATATGTTTCCTGAAATGATTCCAGTCGTATAATGAATATGCACATTAAATAAATACGAAGTTGCAATGATTTACAGAGTACTTTCCCATCACTGTCTTCTGCCTGCTATCTAAATGCTCAATAGACAGCATAATTAAAACACAGTAAACCAGAAGAAATCTATGTAATCAGAATACCTGTGTTCTTCCAAAGCTGACAGCAATTTTGTATAGAAGTTTAATTATTAGTAAGAATCAAAAGAAGCAGGATTAAGAATCAAAATGTAAAAGCAAATCTATATGACCCTATTTAAAGGAAGCTTCATAGAGGTGTAAGGGAGCAGAATACAGTCCCTTACAAGTTGCAGACATTGTGTGCTGCACTCCTCCTTGAGGGACTGGCTTTCCCACCCTTAGAGGATATACCAAAAATGCGCTTACTTCTGCTTACCCACAGTTTACTATCTTTACCTATATGGCTATGCATTTCTTACACCCTTGTTCAACTAATGCATTTTACACCTTTCCGGACTCTATAGGGAAGCAAACTGCAGAACAATTCCCCCTTACTAAGTTAACCCCCCCTTTAAAGCTCTCAGGATCTTTAATGATGCTGACATACCAAATGCAATATGCAAAATATTTACCTCTTGGGGATTCAGAGGTATATTTAGAGATATCTGCTCCACATCTGCTTTCTTTTCACTCTTGTACATACACCGTGATTCATATAGTGACTGGAAGAGACATATTTAACTGTATTAGACTTCTGCTATAAGACACGATGACAGCTCTGTACAAGCACGTGCTTCAGCCAGATACAAGATTAGATAAATGACATAGGAGATTACATTTCTTTTAGCAGGCAAAAAGTTACCAACACATTTGACCAACTCATGACTGTAACAAAAACCACTTACCTTTGATCTCTTTAACAGAATTACTGCTTCCAGCATAGCTATTTCATCAAATGTTCGCAGGACTGGCTCAAGGTCTATTAAGCATTCTAAACAAAGAAAGAGTACTCTGCTGAAGGATTTAAGGGGGAAATTAAGTTTTCATTTTGCTAAAGCTACTTTCTTACATTTACAAAACGAATTTGTTTATTGAAAACATCAAACTACTTACTAAAAACTACTACTAAATAGAAGTTTCTTGCTTTCACCTGTTACAAATGCAACACTTCCACATCACCAAAACAAACCCTGTCCTGATCTGGCCACCTCAGCACTCTGTTTCAAAAGAGATCCGTGACTGTGCCCAACCGGAAGTATTGCATTCCTGGAACAGATAGATTGGTGGGTTTGCTGTATTTCAAGATAAGTCCAACTCACCTGGTTTACCAAATGGGACCAAACAGCCCCAGACCTCAGAGTAGGTCACTATCTTTCCACGACAGTAGATGTATTGAAGATTTATATGAAACCCCCCCCCCAAAAAAAAAACCCAGCCACAGCAAAATCCAGAATAGATGCTGTGTGGCAGGGCCAGAGAAGATGGTGATAGTCAAGGCACTGACTTATCACATCCAGTGAATCCAAATGATAGTGTCCTCATGCTCACCAAAGGCAGCAAGTCAGGGAAGCTAAAATCATCTGCTCACACAGAGAGGCACATGACAGTCCAACAAGCAAGTGACAACCTGTGCTATGCTTCCTTGTTTTACAGTGCTGAAAGGTTTACAAAACTAAGCATTTCAAATTTTGAGATGATTGTATTATAACAATGTCTCTTTGAAGCTATGCTCAAGTACAACAAAACCTCAGGAAAGGATGATGGCATATCACAATTCCACTGCATTTATATAGACTCCACCAATTCAGCAAAACCCAGTTACCGTACTAGCAATTCGTCTGCATCCTTACTAACATATTTTTATTTTTTACCATAATTTTACCACAGTTCTCCCATATAAACTTTTTTCTACTAGCATCTTCAAGATATACTTTCAGTATTGGGATTCTTATTTTCTTGCATCAGCTAAAACAAGAGTTTTACAGGTTTAGCACTCCATTTTCCACACTGAAATACTAGCACTGTTAATTTTTGTTGATTATAATTAAACTGTAGGTACACATTCCACGCACATGCAGAAACACGTTGATAAGTAGTCCTCACCCCTTCTTTATAAGGGGAACAGACAGGTTAACTGAGCTTTTCTATTTAAAGTTTATTTAACAAAAAGGGGGTACGGGTGGGGTTTTTTTCTCCCTCCCATGCCATGATAATTGCAAAATTTCCTGATCAGTGAGCTTTACTTCCCTTAATTTTGCAAATTCCTCTTTCTTTTTACCATAGTAAAGTAGGGGAAAAAGCAATGCATGTTTTCTTCAAAGACTGTCTTACTACAGACATGGCACTAAGAACAGAACCCAAGTTATCTCACACTTTAGAAAGTATCCCACGTAATTATCCCTTCAGCATGACCATAGACTTTGATTGCTATTTTGTTTTGTTTAAGTGACACAGGAAAACAAGAATACATAAGGAAATATAATGGCATGTCTATTCTTTTTTATTTAAAAAAAAATATTATAAATAGATAGATTTCCTTGCTTGGAAAGAAAAAAAAAAAAATCATAGAATCCTAGAATCATCATTTAGGTTGGAAAAGACCTTTAAGATCATGGAGTCCAACCATTAACCTAACACTGCCAAGTCCATCACTAAACCATGTCCCTAAATGCCATGTCTACATGTCTTTTAAATACTTCCAGGGATGGTGACTCCACCACTTCCCCGGGCAGCCTGTTCCAATGCCTGACAACCCCTTTGGTGAAGAAATTTTTCCTAATGTCCAATCTAAACCTCCCCTGGTGCAACTTGAGGCCGTTTCCTCTTGTCCTATCACTTCTTACTTGGGAGAAGAGACTGCCCCCCACCTTGCTACAACCCTCTTTCAGGCAGTTGCAGAGAGCGATAAGGTCTCCCTTCAGCCTCCTCTTCTCCAGACTAAACAACCCCAGTTCCCTCAGCCGCTCCTCATAAGACCTGTTCTCCAGACCCTTCACCAGCTTCGCTGCCCTTCTCTGGACACACTCCAGCACCTCAAGGCCTTTCTTGTAATGAGGGGCCCAAAACTGCACACAGTACTCAAGGTGTGGCCTCACCAGTGCTGAGTACAGGGGCACGATGACGTCCCTGGTCCTGCTGGCCATGTTATTTCTAATACAGGCCAGGACGCTGTTGGCCTTCTTGGCCACCTGGGCACACTGCTGGCTCATATTCAGCCAGCTGTCAACCAACACCCCCAGGTTCTTTTCTGCCTGGAAGCTTTCCAGCCACAATTTACAGTCATACAAACCAGATTCATGCCAAAATAAACTGACATTTCAAAATGTTCTTAATGCAAAAATAAGAATGCCTCGAAAAAGGTCATGTAATTAATTTTGGACTGTAAACTGTACATGAAGATGCTGTATGCGTTTGGATGTGTCTACACTTTGTCCTCTGCCAAACTGATGCAAAAAAATGAAGAGATTAATATTTCTAAGATGTCTGAACAGCAACTTTCTAACACTTCCCATCTCAAAGGAAGTATACCTATAGATGTCTTCAAAATAATAAACAAGCTTCGCCAAAGCTACAAATGAAACATTAAGATTGTGAACCTCTCTACTTGTAACATTAAACCCCCTCCTCCCAAAACAAACCCTAAAAATAAAACCCACCAGAATCAACTAAAAATGCCTAGTATTTCAGGTTTGAACCAGCAAGATACTTAAAATGTAGAATTGTTTAAGCCAGAGCTCTTTGTACTGTTCTACATCTGAATACTTTCAGTAACTCTCTTATTCTACATTTTTGCCTCTCCAGGGTGATTCAGCTTTCCCTGCAGAATTAGGATCATGTTTTCTAAAGGTGTAGGGCGGAAGTTTTTAAAGCACATGCAAATTAAACAAGCACAGCAAGGCAGCTGCGGGAACCGCTGGTAGCTTCACCACACTGACATATGTGACCACAGCAACACTCGCAAGAGCAAATTTCACAATTTAAAACAGGTAATCACTTTCTGCCAATTTTGATGGAATTATCTTTATGCAATGGCCAGACAAGAACTGAAATTTGCCGCAAAATTAAGCATGACATGGAGAAATTGTTATGGGGGATAAATTTGGACTCAACATACACGAAGTATGCTGGTTAAGTGCAACAAAGACAGGTTTGCAAAAATCAAAACACAACTTTTCCAGTTCACACTATGCCACTCTAATCTCTACAAGCTCACACTTCAATCTTATTCTCTAAATTCTACAATCCACTGTGAAAAAAGGCTGAAAGTATCTACATGGGGTCTCATGGGCAAAAACCTGAACAAAGGAAAGATGGAAAGAGAAAGTTAAGTGTGTGCGTTCAACCAGTTCCTGCTCTATCTGGGAGGTGGACCAATCAAAGATAAAATCTCAGTGAAAAAGATTTAAACTGAGAGGCAAACACAAGGTGAAGCCACTATAGCTTATCTGATGTGCAACACTTTGTTGGTGTGTTTGCCAGCTTGCTTATAAATCCCACAGTACCCATTCTATACTTCATTTCCCCCCCACTTCTTAAAAAAAAAGTTCCCTTCCACAATAAACAGAAAAACCCAAGTGCAAGTAGTTAAACAAAACATGCTGCTTTTTTACAGGTAAATTAGAGATAGCAAATGCAAAAGGCTCCAACTAACAACTTGATTTTATGGCACACACGCAGTTCCGTTCATAAAAGTTTGTTTACAGACACGGTGGAAGCAGACAAGCACCTTATCATACACAACAAGACTGAGCACATATACCTCATGACATCTTTACCACTTCCCTTTTGCGACTATAACCTTGCTTTGTAAGTACCATGTTCAACAGAAATCTGGCAATTTAAAAATCTTTTCTCATTATGCAAGGTCAACTCACTTAAGAACGATGGTCTTTCATCTGGGTTTTGTGCCCATCCACTTCCTATCAATCTTACGACGAGCACTCGATGAGGAATGTCCTTTGATAAGCTTTCTTCACTTAAGTCTAGTCGCTGCCCTTGTGACACACTATACATTATCTGCAAGGGGTTTATAACTTCTGTCAAAACAGACATCGTGCAGTCATTAGAAATATATGCAATATAAATAGCTTACTATAGGAGTAATAATTTCATTTGCAAACATGGTATTTATAGTTCACCAAAATAAGGGGTTTTTTTGGTTTTTTGTTTTTTTTTTTTTTTTTTACAAAAAAATGTATCTTTAATTTATCAAACAACACTAAGTTAAAAAAATAAATACTGAAAAAGAGTCTAATTAGAAAAGTAACTCAAAGTGTTCTTCAACAAGCTTACAAGTTGAATCATTAAAGATGATCATTAAAACGAGGTCCCCAGGTCCCCAGGTTTGTCCTTTAGATAAGGCTGGAAAAATAAATTAAAGGAAGACACAACCTTACCTTCAAATGGCTGTTTCCTTGACATCACTTCCCACATAATAATTGCATAACTGTTTAAAGTACAAAAAGTATAGAAGATGTTATTTTAGATTGCCATCACTTAATACTACAATGTGCTCAGCTTTACATTTTACTAAAAACATTTTGCTAAAATCAACCTGCATGCACACACGGGACTGACTATAGCTAACTACAACGATGACCTCAATATAAGAAAACTAGCAGGAATTTTAATCAGTGACTTCAACTAGAACTAGTTAATAATATTAAGTACAGAAAAGGTACATGGCATATAAACTCCTATTGCTGTATTAGCTCTGCTCTACTAATATGTTGTGAATTACGTATATGCAGTTTAAATCTCAGTATGCAAATTAAAACGAGCTCCAGAATCCCAGCTGCTCTGTTGTAACTGAAATACTGTGGCATCTTCCCAGTCTGGATCAACACTCTCTGACATTCTCACGGGAAGCACGGTACTAGCAGGGAGGATGGCTTTCACCCACACCTCTATCCCAACACAAAGTCAAAGAGTCAGGTAAGGTATGGACTTACTGCCAGGAAGCACATTCCAGGTTCCCCCCCAGACATACACATTTTCAACATATGCAATCTTCTCTATAGGGAGAGATGACCCTTACATATGACATTCACTTTACAAAAGAGACTCTTGGGGAGACCACCCTGAACTATAGCTAGGAGACTGAACACGCATCTGCTTAGTCAAATACGAGAAGTGGTGCAGTGAACAAAAATCTGCTCCACCTTTAGTAGACTAGTCACTCTCTTCAGTCATCAGGATATATTAAACAAACTTTAAACAACTTTCTAATTTAAGTAAGATTAGATGATTTCATTTAAATGAAGCATTGAATTCATTTATAAAAAATAATCAATGCAGTTAAAGCAAATAAAAGAAAATAAAATAATGTAAAAACCTCAAATCTGGCTTTCCTATTTAAGAATAGGAATTTGGTGCAAGGAGTAAATCTAGTGGTTCTAAAGCTAAAACGAGAGAGCAAAAACATTTCACTGCTTAATTTCCAATGTCAAATGTATCCTTGTAAACTTACCTTTACTCCCTTATTTTTTCAGTAAATCAATTTCAAAATTGATTGAAAAGTTCTTAAAATGTTGCTTCAAAAAAAAGAAATCAAATTTTCACTGAAGCAATAAAAATGAAACTATGCAAAAAATTATTTTTTTGCTAAAAAATAATTATACTTATCAGAATAAATACTTGCTCAACTACTAAAATAACAAAGACAGTATTTTCCTACATCACTAAGAAGTACCAAATTTTGCATACAGGTTACATTTAACTGCTTCTAAGCATCATATCATCTAACAGCCACCAATTAGGAAGAATCAAAAACAATAAGTAAGAACAAAATAACTCACACTTAAAATCAATCATTTTAATTGAGCCTTCCTAACTACTTATTCCACTCACGTTTTAACATTCACCAATGTTAAAAATTATTCAAGTAACTTTTAACAAAAACAGTCCTCCCTTTAGAAAGCCTATATTTGTTGCATTTCTGAGAAATTCACACAGGCTGATTTTTTTGGCATAGCAAGTTGATCCTTTTGTAAAAGTTAATGCTGTTTGACTGATATTTAAACCATTTGTTTCTTTAAGATCCTTCCTCACAAATTAGCTTCAATATCTCAACAACATCCAGCTGTATCTGCTGTGGTCAATCAGACACCCAGCCTTTCATTCAGTTTGGAATTCTTCTACAATTAAAGAGCATTTTCTCAGTTCTACAACACTGCAGCATACTACTTCCTGCTGATTCCCCTTTACACTATTAGTGTTTTCCTTTCTTATTTCTGCTTCATAGCATCTCCTTCTGATCCCGAGCACAGATTTCCTGTGTGACCTTTCTGGTGGTCATTTCCTTCACTTTCTCTCTACCTTCATGTCTTCCTGCCTCGAACTGCCATCCCTCTTTATGACGTTGTCTCAGCTTTTTTTCTCTCAAGTAACCTCTTTCCTTTGTAATTCCTAAGCTTTTCTACTGATCTCTCTCTTATTTTCTCCCATTTTGTTGTTATCCCTCTGCATGCATTTTTTTTTTCTTTCTAACAAATAATTGTCTTCCTCATCTCCACTCACTCATTAAGCCACCAGTCACACCTTCAAACCCTCTAAAATCAGAAGCCAGAACAGATAAGGTCACACTGCCACTTCTTTCCCCATAATATACCATTATTCCTTTTCAGTGTCTTCCTGATTTTCTCATCAAAGGGAGAGGAAAACAGCTATGTTACCATCTCTTTTCTTTGGACAGGAACGTCAATGAACTTCGCGTGCCCCTCAAGGGTAAGGGATAACTAAGAGAATTGAGATAACGGTGTGAACAGTTTTTCTCCTCCCTACACTGTCTCTAGGTGTACACTCATAGAATACATTCTCCTCTTTCTGTTTCTGTAGTTATAGCTTAATTTCTGGACCATTACACTTGTCACAGTATTTCCTAAAGAAATGGGTGATCAAATACAGCCACTACTCAATTCTCATTTTCCCTTAGTCATTTTGGTTACACTTCTGAAAATAATAAAAATGCTGAAAATATGTTAAAGTCTAAGTTCAGTAAATCAAATTTGAATTCGGATTGCAAAGCCCACTTGAGAACAACATGACTTACCTGTAGATATCATGTTTTACACTTGCACGGGTTTTCTGACTGGGATTGTAATCTTCAGGTGGCATGTAGATAATTGTCCCTCCCTCTGGTAAAGAGGTTTCACTTCGCGATTGAGACATGGATATGACGCGCCATTTTGACATGCCAAAATCTGCAATCTGAAAAGGACAAATCAGTTGTTCTGAGAAGAAAAACTGGATTTATCTGCTGACCGTTGTTAGAAATTCCTGAAATATGCCCAAAGCAACGGGTCACTTAAAGTCCTTAACCTGACACACAAAAGGTATGTGGTTGTCCTAGCAGCAGCAAACAGCAGCTCAGAAAGCATTCTCAGGTCGTGACTCATGCTATCCCTATAGCACTGCCCTTATCCTGACATTCTTTTAAAGAAGGACTCATATATTCTGTGGCTGGGGAATCTGCTATGGAAGTTAGTCTGGTACGAAGAAAATCACTTTCTTTGGTTAAAAAAAGACAAAAAAACATTGAGTACTTCTAGCTCCCTGGTTGTGAAGAAAGCACAAATTTAGTATAAATCATAACAGCTCTGTGTAATTTAGCTTGTCTGGAGACAGATGCTCTCATAGAAAAATTTTAGGGCACTCCACCTCACTCCCAAAACTATGAAACATTAATCTGGAACTAATAAATGTGATATTCTGAAATTCTGTGCTGCAAAAAGTTGCTGAATATTTTCTTTACCGTGCACTCTGGGGCCTCGTCCCTTCCTACAAAGTTTACAGTACATCTATTACAGAATTAATTTACTTCAGTTTACAGTCGCACACATCCAAGGGTCAGGGAGCAAGATGTCAGACTAAGTTACAGGTAGGGAAACAAACAGCCAACAGAATATAGAGCTGCAGAGTGTCTGGCATACAAGGGAGAAAGATAAACAGCCAGCTATGAGCTCTGCACTTGTCCAGCATCTGCATAACAGCAAAAACATTTTCAACAAAGATACCTGGGTGAGCACTGTGGCAACTCAGATAACAGAAATAAGCTTTCTGGAGAGTGTACAGTCAAAATCCACAGTGAAAAATAACCCTTTTTTTTCTCTGTACAACTCACCCTCATCAAGCCTTCCTCACTCTAACTGGTCATGTTATCTTGCTCATTCAGTAGATCCAGGACAGCCAGAAGCACTCTATGAATGGTGTTACTTTTATACATACGCAATACTACTTCTATTTGGCACGCATGATAACCTTCCTTGCATTTTCTGCCAGCTGTCCTAATTTAGAGAATTTTGCTTCACCCCAAAAAAAGACTTAAAAACCCTAAGGATAGGCTTCCTGAGACTCCTTACAGGAGCTAGGGCAGGTATGAAAAATTAACCTCTTCCCTTCAATTGCTCCAGCAAAGCAACTGTTTAGATGTGGTCAGGCAGAGCACCAGACCACACCAATGCTGCTAGGGATTAAAAAAAAAAAAAAAAGAAGAGTGGATAAAAAGATGACTTGGGCCAGTTCCCCGATCAGGTTTATCAGGAAGGTTGAGGGATGGTAATACCAGCACAACTGAGTGGGAGGAGGTATGACCTGCTGAGGGTGTGAGCAGAGACAAAGCTGCGTAAGGTGTCTTGCTGCCAAGAAAAATGTCTTCGCAATGAAGAAAGAAGAAATCAGCACTGGATCTTTGATCTTTACTCAAAGGACTCACAAAAAGATTCATCTCATTAAAACAACTGAGGCACTCGCCATTCAAGTATAAATTAAGTGCAAAATATCTCTTATTTCTCATTTACTTGAAGAGTACATTCTATCAATTTTAAAAACAGAGGATCTTTTACAAAAAAAAACCCAAACCAAACACTTGGAATTATGGAAGCACCTAACCATTTTGTCAGAAGTACTTTTAGTCTCTTTTTCACATGATGGCAGTGATATTTTATAAGGCAGAATTGACGTTTTAAACTAATTACTTCTTTATGTATGTTTGCTTGCTCTAAGGAGCTTCACAAAAGCCATCTTCCACCATGTTCAGATTTTGCAGTTATGTTTTAAATGTTCTTATACTACACTAACAGAACACATGTGTACATATTGCATGATAAATAGCAAATAGGGTATTAACTTTTGACTGAATTTGACCTACTGTGCTCCAGAAGTGACTTGTCTAAGCACCTCGGACAGGAATTCTTTCTATTTTCTTCTCAGAAAGGGCCAGATGTAGCTACCCTTGTGTGGTGGTTTGGTGTCTGGCAGGGTTTTGGTAGCAGAAGAGTGGGCTACAGGGGTGGATGAGCTCCTCAAGAAGCTCCTCCAGCCCCAGTGTCTGATCCGCCTCTGGCCAAGGCCAGGCCAATGGCACCTCTGCGAATAACTATTTAAGAGTGAAAGAAGGGATTGATTGTGTCACTTTGTTCTGTTTGTGTTGGTGAGCGAAGGG